TTTGGATAAAAGCGTCTGCTAAATGACTGAATGTAAATGTAAATATATATATATAAAATAATATTTCTTATTATTTAGCTATTTATATATTATTTAGTAACAATAATAATGATGATAATAATAATAAAACATATATATATATATATATTGTATTATTATTATTATATAATTACAAAATTTGGGCCAAATTGTGTAGCCCTACAAACAAGCAAACCTGGAGTTTTTGTGTTTAATCACATTTTAAATCACAGTCACAATTTTTTTATCAGAAAAATGGCAATTGGATTGTTTTCCCCAGCTTGAGCAGCTCTAACCCCAAGCGGTCCACACTCACCAGACAGTCTCTCTGGAGCGTCTTCACCAGCGCGTTATACGTGTCCACGTCCAGCAGGAGTCCGTCCTGAACGTCCTGCATGAAGTCCAGGTCTTTAAAGGTGGGCTTGGACTTCTCGCGCTCTTTCTTGGACGCGCGGCGCTTGCACGTGGAGCCCTTCAGGTCGAACTTGAGATGCATGCGAACGATGCGCGGCAGGACGTTATTCATCACCACGATACGGATGTTCTTCCCGCCGGACTGAACGCAGTACAAGCCGAAGAACTTGGGCAGCAGCGTGCGGGGATTCTGGTTCAGGTTCTGAGGGATGAACAGCACAGATCAGTCATCTAAAGAGTCAGAAAACCTGGCTGTCTATGCATGCAGTAGAGCACTGAAAAAATGTTTGAAATCAGTGCTACGTGATAATTTTCTAGTTTAGTGAACAAAAATCTCATTATTATCTATGGATCAAAAAACATGGACATACATACTGTATGTTTTTGTATACTGCTGTTATAATGAATGATTATTATGATTGCGGGTCAAACTGACCATAAACTGGTTTTAATAGAACTCATCAATATCACACTATGAAAAATAATAAATAGTCACCACCATTGCAAATAGCAAACAGATCAAAACATTATTATATGTGACCCTGGAGCACAAAACCAGTCTTAAGTGTCCATTTTTCTAAATTGATATTTATCATCTGAGTCAAACTGAATAAATAATCTTTCCATTGACGTATGGTTTGTTAGGATCTGACAATATTTGGCCGAGATACAACTATTTGAAAATCTGGAATCTGAGGGTGCAAAAAAATCTAAATATTGAGAAAATCATCTTTAAAGTTGTTCAAATGAAGTTCTTAGCAATGCATATTACTAAACAAAAATTAAGTTTTGATATATTTACGGTAGGAAATTTACAAAATGTCTTCATGGAACATGATCTTTACTTAATATCCTAATGATTTTTGGCATAAAAGAAAAATTTATAATTGTGACCCATACAATGTATTGTTGGCTATTGCTACAAATATACCCCAGCGACTTAACACTGCTTTTGTGCTGCAGGGTCACATATTATAACAAAATTATGACTTTAAAAAAAACTAACTATAAAATAAAATTGCATTTAACAATTATTTTTTAAATTACATTTAATATGTTTATTTTCACAAACTGTGAATATACTGTATACAGTTTTTTTTTTTCAAATGTTATTTTATGTTTGTGCTTTTGGAAGTTAATCTTTACTATCCCTAATTATACTTATTATTTAGCATTTTTAAGGCTCATTTTGAACACAAATTAAGCACTAATTTGTAGCATTTAAAAATTATTTGAAAACTGTATTTCAATCCTTAAAGCAACTAATAAAGAGGAATGCCTTAAAACTCAAACTCTCTAAATTACTTGAAATATATATGGATTAACACCATTCATTTTAAGTTTAATTGATTGTTTTATAATTTCCATTTTTATATCATCTATATATTTTAGTATTTATTATTTGTTAATCTATATTTTTAATATTTTCATTCGTCGAATGATGCAAAATGAGGCATTTGAAAACCTAGAGCCTTTAAAAAACATTTTCATTGCTTGAAATTAAATTTAAAAAATGAAATAAAAAAATGAAATTTAGTTTTAGCTAAATAAGATAAATAAACTAAAACTTAAAAACTATACAGACATATTAAATAAACTAAAAACAAGATTACTAAAACATGAACCTAAATTAAAATAAATAAATAAAATATATTTTATAAAACTAAAATATATAAATAAAATTAAAAACTATAATAGTATATTATACAACAATAACATTGTTTAAAAATGGTAACCATGGCAAATGTGATTTTTTTATTTTATATATTTATAAATTTTTTGGATAAACTAAATTTGTGCCTTGACCACAGACTGTTTGTGTTTTAACGCACAAATGCGTGATCTTAAACTTCATAACTTCACTTACTCCTAATGCTGCAACAGCTTCACATTACATTCATTTTTAAGCAATTTAAACATCTGATAAGGGTTGGTGTAAAATGCTAATGTTAAGATGCATAATTTGAAAATCCACCAGAAATATTAAATCATCCAGCAACACTTTTATACTGTGATCATGCATACTATGAAGGATGGATAGTGTGCAGACTGATGAATCTGAAACTGGACTGAGGACGAGCTGCTGGCTCACCATGTAGTATCCCGGAAGCAGCTTCTGCAGGAACTCAGCCTCTTTGTGCATGACGGTCTTCAGGATGAATTCATCGTCTCGAGTGAGGTAGAAAATGGAGCCGCTGGCACCGGGGTTTGAGAGCTCGATCAAGGGCTCATTACAGAGAGAATACTGCAACAAACACACAGACATACAGTGACGTCAGAGAGATGCTGCATTTATTCTGATTAATGCTTCTGCATTGAGAGCTTGAACACACAGAGTCAGACTTGAGTCTGTTTTCTGAAGCTTTTATTAACATGAATCACCGTCCACTTTTGTTGCATGAAATAAAAACAGCGGCTCGTGATCCGCAGAAGAAAGTAAGTCAAAAATTTGGTGTAGAAATCATTTTCACTCAGAAATTGCTAGTAAATTTCACAAACAATTACAAAGAAACTGCAAGAGACTCATGGAATGAAACATGATATTTGAAATTTTCTTGTAAAACGTAATTCAATAGTCTTTGACTTTTTGAACTCTGAAAAATAGTTGTTTACAGTGCATAGGTTTGGAACAATGTTTTTTTTTTAATATATATCATTAAGATACTATTATAGCTTTTATTAATATTTTGAATGATTTTTTGTTTTTATATTTTCTTTTTTCATTTTAATTTTAGTTAAAGTTTTAGTAATTTTGTTGCATTTTTGTCATTTTTATTAGTTAAAAAAAAATATATATATATATATATATATTTTATTTAATTAAATTTTAAGTAACAACCTTTTAAAAATGTTTTACTGTAGTTTTAGTTAACTATAATAACCCTGGGTTGCAACATGATGACAGCATTTCCTTCTGTTACGACCCAAAACTTATTTGATTTGTCTAGGGACATTAAGGGAATGTAACATTCATAAAACGCTACAATAAAATGTGATATATATTTTAATAGTGCATATCAAACGGTGAACGTCGTGAAGAGGAGAACACTACATGTTCAAACAGAGAAAAATACGTTTATTCATTAAATTCAACCCCAACCAATATACCAAGAAAAAGGCTTTAAATTTGTCATTGTATGAACCATTTCTTTAAAAAAGAAGCGACATAAGGGTTGGGATCACACACACACACACACACTCACACTCACTCTCACACTCACTCTCACACTCACTCTCACACACACACGCACTCTCACTCTCACACGCACACGCACTCGCACTCATGCACACACAAACGCACACACATCACACACAAACACACACACACAAACACATCACACACACACACACAGAAACACACACACAAACAAACACAAACACGCACACACACACACGCACACACACACACAAACACACACACGCACACAAACACACGCACACACACACACACACACACATCACACACACACACACATCACACACACACAAACAAACACAAACACACAAACAGGTTTACATTTGTGAAAAGTGGGGACTCTCCATAGGTGTAATGGTTTTTATACTGTACAGACCGTATATTCTATTGCCCTACACCAACCCTACCCCTAAACCTACCCCTCACAGGAGACTTTCTGCTATTTCAGATTTTCAATACACTCCATTCTGTGTGATTTATAAGCGTTTTGAAAAGTGGGGACATGGGGTAATGTCCTGAAAAGTCACCTTCTCCTTGTAATACCTATGTTATACCTTTGTCATTATACAAATGTATGTCCTCATTTGTCACAAAAACGCGTACACACACACACACACTCACACACACACACACACACACACTCACACACACACACTCACACACACACTCATCAGTGGGTATCTGTTGTTTTAAGTGCTTAAAAAGGAAAGTATTAGTGTGATTAGTGTGGTAATCACCATCTGTCTCAGGTAGTGTGTGTGTGTGTGGGCCTATAAAGCGTCCATGTGCTTCCACACACACACCTAATATGTTTCAGGTTCATTTTAGCTCCAGACGCGGTCATATCATAATTATGCATTAACCTTCCCATGACCTCAGCACTGCCCTATATAAACCACATCACTGACCGCACACTCATTCAGCCTCACTGGTTCCTCAAGAACAGCAGATCAGCATATTATACTGATTTCTGAAGATCATGTGACACTGAAGACTGGAGTAATGATGCTGAAAATACAGCTTTACATCACAGGAATAAATTACATTTCAACAGATATAAAACAGTTATTTTAACCTGTAAAAATATTTCACAATATTACTGTTTATATTGTATTTTTGATCAAATAAATGCAGCCTTGAGCTGCAGAAGAAACCTTACCAACCACAAACGTTTGAACGGTAGTGTAATATATATTTTTAGAATATTTTTTATCATTTTACAATTTTGTAATCGTTCATTGTTTTCTCAATAACTGTGACGGATTACAGTTACATTTATTTTGTAATCAAATTATGTAGCGCCGTTACATGTAAACTGTTACAACACTGGAAATAACACACAGTTATTAGTGAATGAGAGCCAGCGTCTGAAGGCTCTGGCGTTTGTGCTGTGTCTCACCAGATAGTCGTCCGGTCGAATCCCGAAGAGCTCTCTGAAGTAGCGGAACGCCACCGGAGCGTACGTTTTAAACCTGAAGTCTGGATAGTGATGTGCCGGTGTCAGATTACTGCCTTCACTGAGAGAGAGAGAGAGAGACACGGACACACATCAAATCTGCATCATCCGACTGACTGATGATCAACACTGCTTTCTTACAGTTGTAGCATTTGGACCAATCAGACACACAACTAGTCAATAATCATGCAGATTTATGTTACAAACTTATAGAATTGTACAGTAAGAAAGTTATTTCCTTTAACCAGGAAATTAACGTTCTTAGAATTGACAAGACGGTTGACCCTGAGTGGTCAGCTAAATATCTACAGTGGATCTAAAATATTAATAATTAATCATAATTAGTTATGGTTAATTATTCATATTTCCTGTTGTGAGCTAAATTTGCTACACAGTGTACACTACCGGCCAAACGTTTGGCATCAGAACGATTTTTTATGTTTTTTACAGGAGTTTCTTATGCTCATCAAGGCTGCATTTATTTGATCAAAAATTTGAACAAATTTAATATTGTGAAATATTATTATGATGTAAAATAACGATTTTCTATTTTAATATACATTAAAATTTATGTAATTTATTCCTGTGATGCGCAGCAGTATTTTCAGCATCATTCCTCCAGTCTTCAGTGTCACATGATCTTCAGAAATCAGTATAATATGCTGATTTATTATCAGTGCTGGAAACTGTTGCTGCTTCATATTTTTTTGGAATCTGTGATACTTTTTTTCAGGATTCTTTGATGAATAAAAAGTTTAAAAGAAGAGCATTTATTTAAAATAGAAATCTTTTCTAACAATATACACTACCGTTCAAAAGTTTGGGGTCGGTACATTTTTATTCTTTCTTTTTTTTTTTTTTTTACTTTTATTCAGCGAGGATGTGTTCAGTCGTTAAGAAGTGATAGCAAAGATTTATATTGTTAGAGAAGATTTCTATTTTGAATAAATGCTGTTCTTTTTAACTTTTTATTCATCAAAGAATCCTGAAAAAAAGTATCACAGATTCCAAAAAAATATGAAGCAGCAACAGTTTCCAGCACTGATAATAAATCAGCATATTATACTGATTTCTGAAGATCATGTGACACTTTATACTGGAGTAATGATGATGGAAATTCAGCTTTGCATCACAGAAATAAATTATACTTTAAAGTATATTAAAATAGAAAACCATTATTTTAAATTACAATAATATTTCACAATATTACAGTTTTTTCTGAATTTCTAATCAAATAAATGCAGCCTTGATGAGCAGAAGGTAGACTTACAAATCTTACTAATCCCAAACTTTTGAACGCCAGTGTATGTGTAAAATATATTTGAAGTGTATTGTATTGTGGGATACAGTTTTCCACTAAAATGCTGGCTAATAACTAAGCCACCCAAGTCCGTTATAAAAATATGTTTATATAGAACACAGTCTGCGTCTGTTGGTGTAAGTGCTTGATTTGAATGAAGACCAAAGCACTAGTAGTTACACTAGCGATGCTTGACTTAGCAAACACCACTAACTGAAGCAGTGAGACTGAATGAAGAGATGGATTTAACACTCTCTGGTGCAGCAGAAATCTCACATACTGTACAGACCTGGGGAAGAAGATGCTCTCCACCACGTAGAAGTCTTGCATGAGGACGTCCCGCTCGGGTTTGGAGCTCAGGTTACCCACGGTGTAGCCGATCCCCAGCTGAATGGCTCCTTTCAGGGCAGACGAGGTCGTCTGTCGACACACAAGACGAACACTTCTGACTCTCTGACAGCAGTTAAACTCGCCCTGCATCCTTGACATACAATGACTGCATAACAGCATGAAGACAGATACAAAGGACCAAACATAAAATGTTTATAAAAATGTAATATATATATGGCAAAACTTCATTTTAAGGACCAATTCTCACTATTAACTACTTGCTTATTAGCATGCATATTATTAGCATATTGGCTGTTTATTAGTACTTATAAAGCCTTATTCTGTTTTATTCTATTTTTAAATATATTTTAATATTTATTTTAAAAATATATATAATATTTAAAAAAATATTTTCACAACATACAATTAAAAAAAATCTATAACATTTTCATATAAAATATATATAAAATATATTTTATAATAAATGATATAATATAATAAATATATATATAATTTATAATATATATTAATATAAATATATATAGCATTTATATATAAAATATATATATATAAAAAATGTTTCCTTCATAATAGACCAATTTATTGGCTAATATTTGGAGTATTTTTGGATTACCACCACTAATAACTAAAATGTCAGGTTCCCTTTGTGTCAGTAACAACTTTGTCAATAAACAATACACAGTAATGTTTTAATTTACTGAAACTAATGTGTATAATGATTGTTCATTTTAAGTCTAGCTATTTTAATGTCTCATTAGCTGTCCATAAATGAAGTTATATCATATGTATGTGTATATACAGTATGCAATGAAGATAAAAAGCTGTCTGAATGATTTCCAGGATGGACGCTTTTGGACCACACTGTATATATCAGCAGCCTGAAGTAAAAATTGACTGAAATTGTGATTGAAATGGACAAAATTGAGAAATGAGATGGAGACACCATGAAGCTGATGTGTGACTGAAGATGCACCTTCTTGTAGGTGGTTTCGCCGGACGCATCGACCCGCCTGTGACCGATCTTCTTCTCAGTGCCAGAGCTGGAGTGACACGAGGAAGACGGCATCTGAGAGGACAAAAAAATCACAAACGAGATCTCATTTACATATTTCTCATAGACAGCAAAGAGTTTAAATGGAGATTTGATCATCCAAATGATGTGAGATGCTACAGTATCTACATGCATTCTGTAGCTCTATGCTATTAATGTATGATTCATTTTTGTCTATTTTTAGGAGAAACATTTAAGACAAAGTTGACACTTCAGTTCATAGTTCTCCCCATTATGAAAATTTGCCGAAAATGTACTCGCTCTCAGGCAATCCTAGATTAGGATGAGTTTGTTTCTTCATCAGATTTGGAGAAATGCAGCATTGCATCAGTGTCTCAGCAATGGATCCTCTGCAGTGAATGGGTGCCGTCAGAGTGAGAGTCCAAACAGCTGATAAAAACATCACAATAATCCACAGCACTCCAGTCCATCAGTTAACATCTGGAGAAGACAAAAGCTGCGTAATAAATCTATCATTAAGGTGTTTTTAACTTTGAACCATCCCTTCTGGCTAAAATATGAGTCCATAATCCATAATAACGCTTCCTCCAGTGAAAAAGTCCACCTCCTGTTGTCTCTCACATCAGAATCCAGCCACATATTTGTTTAGAGCTGTTTTGGACTGTTGTAAACAGTGCTTGATCTGTGCAGATTTCTCTCCTGATTCAGACCAGACCACTTTTTCACAGGACGAAGCATTATTATACAGTTTAAACCTTTTAAAGGTCCACTGAAGTGCCTTGAAACATGCAGCGTTATTCTATGTGTAGACATAATTTCAACTGAAACAGGAAGACGGGGCGGGACATATCGAGCAGCCTGAGATAACCTTAAGGATAACATATTCATACTAAAAGCCAAAAAACTTTCATTTTGATTTCATGGGGACTTTAATGATGGATTAGTTTCAGCTTTTGTCTTCTCCAGATGTTAACTGATGGACTGGAGTGCTGTGGATTATTGTGATGTTTTTATCAGCTGTTTGGACTCTTATTCTGACGGCACCCATTCACTGCAGAGCATCCATTGCTGAGACACTGATGCAATGCTACATTTCTCCAAATCTGATGAAGAAACAAACTCATCCTAATCTTAGATGGCCTGAGTACATTTTCAGCTAATTTTAATTTTTGCATGAACTATTCCTTTAAATCTCAATTTCTGAAACCTCTGATCAATAACATTTTCCAAACACTTGAACATTTAACTCTTCTCAAGACTGCTTTAAGTAACACTGGAGTTGTATGACCGAAATTAATGATATACAGATAATAAATGATGCTTCACCTCGGTTATGTAGGTCTTCTTAAGCGCAGCGTCTGAAATGACAGAGGAAGAAAGAGAAATGCAGATTATTTAAAAAAATGTCTTAATAAATGTCGTTAATAAAACAATAAAAGAAAAACCTAATAACAGTGAGCAAGTGTAAAAATGAGCATGCAATGAATGCAACATACTACAGTAGTATGCAACGGTGCTGTCACATGACCTCTTTAAGTTGCACATCTGATTGATTGAAATAAATGTGGTCATTTCACATTTTTATGCAATTTTCTATAAAAATGTCTTATGGCAGTCTGATTAAATAAAGAATCAAGAAAGAGATGTGGAAAATCATGCTTTGTATTACTTCCAGTTCAGTTGTCACACAGGAAGCTGAAGGTCAAGTCGAGTGCATTGCATCATGGGATACATTAACACACTGCAAAACTAGTATGAAGAGTGTGTTAATCTGAACACACACTGGTTAATGTGTGAATAACAATTCAAGGACAAACGGCGGGAGTCTGCAGCTCTGTGCTGCCTTGCAGTCATTTCACACTGCGTTTTTCTTGCACATGTTTCTGTGTCACTGAATTCAAGGGGAGGGGGCGGAGCTACAGACAAGTAAACCTGTCAATCATTCCTCAGCACGTGCCGGCGCGGAATTAAGGCAAGATAACAGAACGCAAATGAGACTTGACCTGCTTTACACCCGAGAGGAGCGAGACAATTTAATAACAGGGAATTAGAGCAGCAATGCAGTGCTGTAAAAAGTCTTAATTTCATCCTGGGACGCGGATGAGTCTCATCAACACATGTCCAGGTCATAGTTTTAGCACACAATCAAAAGAAATTAAATAAAAATATATATTTTGTACGAAGAAAATTAAGCTTATTTGATAAATTAAGCAATATATGTTTGTATATAAATTAAAAATTATATTTTGCATTAAAATAATGTTACAGTGTAATATATATATATATATATATATATGCTTAAATGACATGAAAATAATAATTATATATATATATTATTTTTCCAAGCAAAACATATGATCTTATTAAATGGGACCTGGACATGTTCTTGACAGATTTTGTGAGATCAGCAATATCCTCTGTAAAGCTTTAAGAGAGTGTGTGTGTGTGTGTGTGTGTGTGTGT